ACCTCAGTAAAACCACTTTATAAACATAGAAGATATAAACTCTAAAAACATAAGAACGCAAAATGTTATATAAACCGTCCACCAGGAACTAGGAGTAGCTTTGCTAGTCATTCTGCTAAGCTATTCATTAAATTTATCTTTTCTAATTTTTGCTACATGAGAACGAAGAAATATTTGTGGTCTTATGGCTTTCCCACAATTGATGGGAACAAGTTTTGGAAACTTTGTATTATTTTGGAAATAGAAAGGCGTTCCCATTTTCTAGTACATAGGTATATTTAAAAAAAAAAAAAACCTCAAAATTATTTGGAAGAAATGCCTTAATCAATTTCTTTTCCGTTTTGGTCACGTAAATTTCTTTCTTTAAGAATTTTTGGAAAATACTGTTTTAGAAGGTATTAATTTTCTCCTTCCTTATCCTATTTCTAATAATAAAAACCATATTTTTCTGATTTCATTCCTGTAGTGGCTTACAGAAGAGATGAGATGTGGCCAGAGGGACGGTATGATTATGAAAGATTTCCAAGACAACGAGTACCTCCTCGAAGTCACCCCAGTGTAAGTTGCTTGCACGTGTGGAATTATTCAGCATCTGGTGGCTAAGTGACTTGGTATTCCAAAAGCTACGACTCTTAAAAAAACTCTTCAAGTGCCCAAAATTTACCAGTCTTGATTGAGTATAGCTAGATCAAGCTTTTTTTTTTTTAATTAAACATTTGACAATAAAGGCAATGTTTTATTTACAGAGAAAAATCTATATTTTGTATTTCTTGTTTAAATTTCTAGAAATGAAGATATGTATTAAATTCAGTTGGTGAAGGAAATCTTGATTTTAATAAAGGTCAAACCTTTATCAAAGGAAGAATATTTGAGCACTTGTTTCTACAGTTTGCTATCACCAATGTTTATATATATATATATAAAAGTTCTGCAGATTGGATAAGTGAAATTCTAAATCAGGAGTAGGAAATCAAGCTCTTGTAAGCCGCCTTGGGAATTGGGAATTTTGAGCCACGTCAAGGCTTTCTAGTCAAGGAGTTTGGCTAATTGTATTCTCATCTCTGTGTCTAATGCCTGGCAGGTAATAGGAGCTCAGAAATGACTGAGTAAATACATGTACTCTCTCTCAGATCATCTGTAGTGATCCAAAGGCGGGGCCCAGGGAAATATTGTCAGCTGTTAGCTTTTGTGAAGACCTATTTAAGCCTTGGGGATTGGGTTTGTTAAGGAATGTGCACATTCTATGGGTTCATGATACATCATCAGAGGACACACATACTTGTTTTTTTGATAGTTATTTTTTACTTATATAAGCAAATTTTACAGCCACCTTAGATGGGTGGTCTTTTCAGAGTTACCATTAGAAATCATAAAGAGGCCTGCGTTATTTCAGAATGGACTGAGGTAATTATTACTATATGTCATTTCTTTCCAGGTTAACTTATAGACTTTGTTATTAATCAAAACCTCAATTTTTAAAATTTTCCCAACTTTTTTAAAGATTTATTTCATTTTTTGCATACAGAACTGGGGTATAAGCCTGCTGCTAGCTTGCAGTGCTGTGCTTTTTTTTTTTTATCACAAAAGTTTATTTTTACATCATTTTGTACATTTTTTTTTTTCATCTCAATTGTAATCCCCGCGGGTTTCCCATCACCGAGTCACCCTTGTGCCATCACCATAATCCTGTGCATTTTCCTCCCCCCACCCCGTTTTTGATCCCATTCCCCACTCCACCCCCACAAAATGTCTCTGGTATGTGGTTGTTCATTATTTTTGTTATTTTCCACCTGGTCCATTATACTTCTACTATGAGTGAAACCATCCGGTATTTTTCTTTCTCTTTCTGGCTTATCTCACTAAGCATGATCTTATCCAATTCCATCCAAGTTGCTGCAAAAGACATGTGTTTCTCTTTTTTGGTTGCTGAGTAATATTCCATTGTATATATGTACCACCTCTTTTTTATCCAGTCATCTACTTTTGGGCATTTGGGCTGCTTCCATGTTTTTCCAGTTGTAAATAAAGCAGCAATAAACATGGGGGTACAGGTATCTTTTTCAATCAGTGTTTTTGTGTCTTTTGGGTAGATACCTAGGAGTGGGATTGCTGGGTCGTAGGGAAGCTCCATGTTTAGCAGTTTGAGGAACCTCCAAACAGTTTTCCATAGTGGTTGTACTAGTTTGCATTCCCACCACAGTGCTGCGCTTTTCAACCTTCTGTGCCACCACAGAGTGCCCAAAATTTTCCCAACTTTTGATAAAATCATTAAAGAGTTTACTCAGAAGAAGAAACAAGTGATACAGATGAACATGACGTAGGGCTACTACAGGGCTGGGAGAAAGACATGCTTCAGAAACATAATTTGGTAGGATCACTTCTTCCCAAGGATACAGCCTTTTGGAATTTTTATTTGAAAGGTACTTAAAATAGTTTCCTGTGAGGTTATTTTACCAATTGGATGTGTAGTTGGATTTGTTTTAGTTTTCTATTTTTCGATTGCCTTTCCTTCTGATTTTTTTTAATATAACATTTACATGGATACATGTTCGTATAAAGTACATTTAGAGAGGGGATGACTTATATGATAATATAATTGCCTGTTTACTATGAGTGGGGGGTTTATTTATAATATTTCAAATTTTCCTAATAGTTGTGTTGAATTATACAGTATTTATAAAGAACCTAGTAGAATGTTTTTGAACTTATAAAAAGAAGGGATTTACATATTGAAGTACAATACCAGATAATAGGAAATGCTTAAAATAATGTAATGGAAAAGTTTTTTTGTTTGTAAGATTTTTTATTTAGTGCCTGCATGGTGACACACGGGTTTAAGTCTCAGCACTGTGAAGCTATTGGCAGCCAGTGCAGCAGAAGTTCTATCCCTGGCCGAGGAGCTGACCCACATGGTGCAGCAGACCTCTCCTGTCTCACCCACTTCTCCCCTCAGAAGTGTACTTAATCAGTCTGTTCTGCTCCACACTCTGTCTCTGGTGGGTCCTCTCACCACCCCCAGCTTTTCTGGCCTATATCCCAGGTTTTCTATACATAAATAAATAAAATAAATCTTTTTTTAAAAGATGGAAATGATGGGCCCTCCCTGATGGCGCAGTGGGTTAAAGCACAGCACTGAGAAGCTAAAGCCACTTCTGTAGGAGTTCGATCCCCACCTGCCCTGGAGGTGATCCACATGGTGCTGCA